TTCTTGTTCATAGTTGCACTCTTCTTCATTATTCAAACGATTTCATTCCAGATTTTCAAGTTTCAACCTTAAGTTGACAAACACATGAGTCCAAATACTACCTTGAAAATCTGCAAGTTGCATCTATAAATCGTCAATTTGCATCCATTGGAAATCCTTTCATTCTTAAGTACTGCAAACAACTACATCCAGATACTTAATTATTTTAATGGTCTGTTCTAGGCTTCTAAATTGGTCGAATCTTTCACTGAAGTGTTCAAATAACGAGTTTACTATATTCTGGTACATAAGTGTGGACTCCATTACACTCGTTGTAGTGGCCTTCTCAAAATACTTTTTTATCCGAGGAAAATACTTATAAATTTTAGTTTCAATACCTCGCTTGAAAATTTTAAGTTTACTTTCAAAGGATTTGATATATCCAAACATAACGTCAATACTTTTGCCAAAACCTTGTAATTTTAAGTTCAGTTCATTCATATGAACAGAGAGATCTGTAAAAAACGTCAAATTGCTGACCACTTATCATCATTGATCTGAGGAAAGTTTGCCAGATCCTTATTCTCAATAAATATTGTAATTTCTTCAAAGCACTCCACAAATCGCTCAAGTACTTTACCTCGACTCAGCCATCTCACATTATTGAACATCAGTAGTCCACTGTAGGTTGAATCAACTTCCTTTAAAAGTGCAGAAAGTTCTTGCTTGTGAAGGGGTCGAGAAGCTATAAAATTCACAATTTTTGTTACAACTGACATTAAATCATTCAATTCATTCAATTCTGAGAATCCCGATTTGGCACACAACACCTCCTGATGGATAATGCAATGAAAAGGTACAAGTGGATGTCTAATAGCTTCCATAAACAATTTCAGGAATTCCACATTTTTTCCCACCATATTTGGTGCCCCATCTGTCATGACTGACACAATTTTAGAGATATCAATGTTTAGGTCACTGAATATTTTTATAACAACCTTACATGTTTTGTTTCCTGATGTACTTATTGGCACTGATTCTAACTTTATCAACTCTTCTCTCATTGTGAGACCATCAGAATATCTAGCAATAATGGCCAACCAAGCATTTGATGTGACATCAGTAGTTTCATCAAGAGAAATCAAAAAATATTTACAACTATTTAAGTCTTGTTTTAATTGATGTTGTACATTTTTGTTAAGATCTATTATTCTGTCTTTGATAGTATTTCTACTGAGTGGTAACTCAGAAATTCTTTTAATAATATTTTTAACTTTACTTTTCATATCGTATAATAGAGCTGGTGTACATCTTAGAAATGTTTCCTTAATAAATTCTCCGTCACTGAGGGCTTTCCCAAGCTGAGCTCTGGAGTGAGCAATAAGTAACTTGCTGATGTTAAATTTGTAGAGCATCTTACACATTTAATGATGGAATTTGATTGATTCTTATAGAGGTGTAGCTGCCTAGAAATGTATTCCTTCCTTTCATCGATACTTCTTTTCAAGAGCTGACAATGATTATTTTCAAAATGTCTCTATACATTCCACATTCTGCTTACTACCATTTCATTATACAGTATGCACAATGATCTGTTGTTTCTGTCGACAGTCCTGTACATCTCGGTCCATATGTCTTGAAAGGGTCAGCTACTGCTACTTCCACTTCCTTTTTCATTCAATCTTGTTTTTTTATTTTTTTGATTCTCCATCACAAGGCTGCAATAAATAAATAAATAAATAAATAAATAAATAAATAAATAAAAATTACAGCGTTTTTTATAAAAAGTTGATAGGTTTCTTACCTATTAACTTTTTGCAGGGTTGTTGCACTGATTCTTAGTGCAAAACAATTCATAGATAGTTGTATAAGCAACCAATATATTGTGTTATAAACAATTATCCGACACTCAGAATGTCTCGTTGAGCACTGCTGCACTGTATATCTTTTTCTTCTAATCCTCACACTCCTGTCTCCTAAAGAAAAATTGCTATCAAGTGTGTCCATTTGCTGAATGCACCCAAATGCACAGGAAGCTTACCTGAGGCACATGTTGACAATAACGAGGCTATTTCCAGAATTGGGCATTTTGTCACTGGAGTAAAAATAAAATGTCATGAGTAAAGATTAATCTCTTTATAGTGCAATTCTTAACCTTTTTATATTAATGTCAATATTGGAACAATGTATCTTGGATGTTTTCACTATGTATCTTTGCTACACAACACCGATGTACATGTTTACATCTGGTTTTAGAATTGCATTATTGATCATGAGTAATGTGAGTAATAATATTACTCGAGTGATGCCCAACTCTGGCCGTTGCGAGAGACAAATATTTGAATTATGCAATTTTTGTCTCTGTCGATGTGTGTCACCCAAAATGAGTTCGTGTGTCACCTCTGACACACGTGTCATAGGTTCGCCATCACTGTCCTAGGGCAATGGAAACTAAGGAGAAAATAAACAAGTAGGACTACAGCAAAATAAAAAGCTTCTGCACAGGAAAAGAAATCATTAACAAAACAACAAGAAAGCCTACTACATGGGAGAACATATTTGCCAATGTTATATCCGATAATGGCCTAAACTCCAAAATTTATAAGGACTGCATACATCTTAACAAAAGGAAGTTAATCCAATAAAAAAAGGGGGGGGGGGCAATGAACCTAAATGGATACCTTTTTTTTTTTTTTTTTGAGAAGAAACGCAGGGGCTTTATTATAATCAGTATTATTCTTTAAGTTAAAAATTGGTACTCATTCAGGAAACAGTATGCTTTCAGCGAGCCACAGATACATGCCAGGTGCAGCTACAAGTACATAAACATGCCCCTTGGGAAACAGCACAGCACTCCTGCCTGAAAACTCAGGTATAAACAACGCACCTACATTTCTGTAGCAGAAGTGCAAGGATCTGCACAGGCCTGACCTGCACTGCCTGCTCTCAGCGCCCTTCTGGGATGCCAACTCTGTGGTGTGGGGTGGGGGTGGGGAGCTGCTTGCTCTGTGTGCCCCACGACCATGCTGCCCACAGAGTGTGCCTCTCCAAAGCCAGCCTTGGTGTATACCAACCTCTCAGATTAAGAAATACCAGATGTGCCCATCAGCAGATGAATGGATTAGAAAACTGTGGTACATCTACACAATGGAATACTATGTTGCTGTAAAAAAGAAGGAATTCTTACCATTTGCAACAGCATGGATGGAACTGGAGAGCATTATTCTAAGTGAAATAAGCCAGTCAATGAAAGAAAAATACCACATGATCTCACTCATTTATGGATAATAAAGACCATTATAAACTGATGAACAAAAATAGATACAGAGGCAGAGCAGCATCGAACAAACTGTCAAACTACAGCGAGAAGGCTGGGGAGGGTTGGGGGGCAAGAAGGGAGGGTAAGAGATAAACCCAAGGGCTTGTATGCATGCATATAAATATAACCAATGGACACAAGACCCTGGGGGTAGGGGAGGCCAGGGGAATATCAAGGGGGGGGGGGGAGAAGGAGACATATGTAATACTCTTTGCAATAATTTAAGCAATAAAAAAAATGAATAAAGAGACGTTTTAAAGAAAAAAAAAAAGAGAAATACCAGATGTGATCACATGGTACCTTGAAGGTTAGACTCCAGCTTCCGCAAGCCAGTAGGAGGAAATGACAAGGCCTTAAGAAAGTCAGGCAGGGCTTTTCCCTCAGGAGAGGGCATGGATCTGCCTAGGTCTGACTCACCCCTGCTCATCGCAACTCTTGATTGAGAATGGCATCGCAAGGCTGGTGGCGGGCACACTGCTCACAGCGCACTGCTGGCCTGCAGCAAATGCCACTGCTGGCAAGTGGGGTGGCTGGTGGGAGGGCCCTCCCCATGCCTTTGCTCAGGGAGATCTGAAGGAACCTTTGGCTTTTCAGAAAAGCAGGCACTCCACCCCCGAGCCAGAGAGCAGCCCAGGGTGGCTCTGGGCAGGAAACGCACAGAAAGCGGGGCCATTTGACGGGCCCAAGTGAAGGTGGGCACAGCAAACGTGCACAGGCAGAAGGAATCTGGACAGCTGGGCCCACTGGCACACAGGCTTTTCTAGCTCTAATGGAATGTGGTGTCTCTTGTTCCCAGGGAGACAAAGGGCAGGTTCGGTCTGTTCTCTCGGCGTTCACTTCTCTCCCCATGCAGTCTGTGCTCTTTATGTGTGTCCAGAATTGGCTATCTGTCTGCCTGGCCAGTGGCCACTTCCAGAACTCAGAGACAGCTCTAGAGGTGAGTGATGACAAACACGAGTTTGTCTCTATTGCTCTGGGGCAGGCTGCCTTGATGGCAGGGCAGTGCTGGACTTGGTACCCACACTGAGATCTCCTCCTAGAGGTACTACCTTTGGGCAAACTACCTGCCCTCTAATTTTTCAGCAAGATGACTCCTGGAATAACAGAGCTATCTCAGAGATGTAAACTTTTCATTGGTCCTTCTGGGGTTGCCCTGCACAGGGACCCCTGGTTGCACAGGGAGTGACATTCAGGGTTGCTGTGGTCCATTTTAAGTCTTCTTTGATGTCTGTCTGAAACCCACCCCTGTAATGAACACCCTCATTTCTTATGCTCCCTTAGGTGTGCAGATTTGATTGTCCTAGTACTCAGAAGCATAAAACGATTGAGCTTTCCTCCTAATCTCAATCCAACCCTCCCACATTTGTGCCCCTTTTGTTTTTAAGACCACAGGCAGGACTTTTAGTCAATGGCTGAAATAGTTCTAGAGCTAAACTCTGAGCAACTTCATTTTGCTCAGAACTCGGCAGGTTCTGCTAATGGCCCCTCACCAAACAGAACTCCCTGGGAACAAAGTTTGGGGCCAGTTTCTAGCTTGATTTGGAAATGTAAGGCAAAGGAAGGGCGCGTTGCTTTGCCTTAGATCTCCCACTGAAAAAGTGTTTGGAAGAAAATGCAGTTCTCATTGCCGGGGAAATACCAAATGTCGGGAACCAAATGTCGGAAACCAGGCACGGCAGGGGAGGGCGCTGGGTCCTCGTAGTCACTTGCGAGGCTGCTGGATGTGCTGGGTTCTATGGGATAGGTACTTGTCCATAGAGGCGTGGGGCTTCTGGTGAGCCACCTGGGCGGCCACCAGGGGGAAGTCCTTGTCACTCCGGGCGATGACACCAGAGATGTACATGGTGGGTTTAGGCGGGTTGGGCTTGGTCTCCCACTCCTCCTCATCCTTGTCTTTCTCTTCTTTGGTGTCTCCAGAATGCGGGTGTTTCTGCATGATTCGCATTCCACCAGCTTTCACAGTGGGCAGGTGTCCAGCTTTTGTCTTTTGCTTCTCCTCGGGAGGCAAAGACATGGTGCTACCGGAGCACCTGGGATGGCAGTGGAGGTGGCAGTGGGTTCGTAGGTCAGGAGGAGCCGGAACCAGGCGGCAGCGTGTGTGAGGTCCTAAATAGACACTTTTGGAAAGTGGACATAAAGAAAGTCAAAAGACATGAAAATATGCTCAAAGTCACTAATCATTCTAGAGATTCAAATCAAAACCACAATGAGATACCATCTCACAACTGTCAGAATGGCTATCATAAACAAATTGAACAAATGACAAGTGCTGGCGAGGATGTGGAGTGAAAGGAACCCTCCTGTACTGCATGTGGGAATGCAGACTGATGCAGCCACTGTGAAAAACAGTAAGGAGTTTCCTCAAAAAATTCAAAATGGAACTGCCACTTGACCCAGTAATCCCACTTCTAAGACTATATCCCAAGAAACCAGAAACACCCATCAGAAAAGCACCCTTATGGGAGAACCAAGATAGCGGCATAGGTAAACACCGGAGAATGCTGCCTCGCACAACCACTTCAAAAATACAACTAAAAGACGGAACGGACATCACCCAGAACCACAGGAAACCTGGCTGAGGGGAAATTCTTCAAATAGAAGGAAAGTGAACAGCATACCGAGACTCAGAGGAGGCGCAGTGCAGAAAATACAAACGTGCGGAGGTGCGCGCGAAGCGGGCTGGTGGCTGAGGGCGTGGTTGTCGTTTTCAATTGGAAGGGAAGCTCAGGCCCTGAGCTCCAGTTCTGGGCAAGTCTCTAGGGATCCAGACTCAAACGGGAGAAGCGGGACTATCTGGCATTGGTCAGAACGCAAGGGCAGCTTTCTCTCCAAGGTTTGCAGCGGTTGCTGGGACTCTGAGAGGCAGAGCCTCTGGGGACAGGACTGAGAGCAGCCATAACTGCTCCCTCCGCCCGCCCTGTTGATCCCATGCAACCCGCCCGCCCAAGCCCTGCACAGAGCCATTTGCTGGATAGCCTCAGGCAAAGGCTAGATTTGCACCTCCCCAGAGGACAGAAGTTTTCCCACTGCAGACACAGCTGACTCTCACAGCCAGTTGGGCTGGAGGTCAAATCCCCCCAGTATTAACTACAACAATCAAGGCTTAACTACAAGACTGCACACAAAGACCACTAGGAGGTGCACCAAGAAAGCATAAAAAATGTGGAGACAAAGAAACAGGACAAAATTGTCAATGGAAGATATAGAGTTCAGAACCACACTTTTAAGGTCTCTCAAGAACTGTCTAGAAGCCGCAGATAAACTTAATGAGATCTACAAGAAATCTATGAGGCCCTCAATGTCATGATAAAGAACCAACTAGAGCCAAAACCGGTTTGGCTCAGTGGATAGAGCGTCAGCCTGCGGACTGAAGGGTCCCAGGTTCGATTCCGGTCAAGGGCATGTACCTGGGTTGCGGGCACATCCCCAGCGGGAGATGTGCAGGAGGCGGCTGATCGATGTTTCTCTCTCATCGATGTTTCTAACTCTCTCTCTCTCTCCCTTCCTCTCTATAAAAAATCAATAAAATATATTTAAAAAAAAAAAAGAACCAACTAGAAATTAAGCATACACTGACTGAAATAAAGAATACTATACATACTCCCAACAGCAGACCAGAGGAGCGCAAGAATCAAGTCAAAGATTTGAAATGTGAAGAAGCAAAAAACATCCAACCGGAAAAGCAAAATGGAAAAAGAATCTGAAAATACGAAGATAGTGTAAGGAGCCTCTGGGACAGCTTCAAGTGTACCAACATCAGAATTATAGGGGTGCCAGAAGATGACAGAGAGCAAGGTATTGGAAACCTATTTGAAGAAATAATGACAGAAAACTTTCCCTACCTGGTGAAAGAAATAGACTTACAAGTCCAGGAAGCGCAGAGAACCCCAAACAAAAGGAATCCAAAGAGGACCACACCAAGACACATCATAATTAAAATGCCAAGAGCAAAAGACAAAGAGAGAATCTTAAAAGCAGCGAGAAAGAAACTCAGTTACCTACAAGGGAATACCCATACGACTGTCAGCTGATTTCTCAACAGAAACTTTGCAGGCCAGAAGGGAGTGGCAAGAAATATTCAAAGTGATGAATGCCAAGAACCTACAACCAAGATTACTTTATCCAGCAAAGCTATCATTCAGAATTGAAGGTCAGATAAAGAGCTTCACAGATAAGGAAAAGCTAAAGGAGTTCATCACCACCAAACCAGTATTATATGAAATGCTGAAAGGTATCCTTTAAGAAGAGGAAGAAGAAGAAAAAGGTAAAGATACAAATTATGAACAACAAATATGCATCTATCTATCAACAAGTGAATCTAAGAATCAAGTGAATAAATAATCTGATGAACAGAATGAACTGTTGATTATAATAGAATCAGAGACATAGAAAGGGAATGGACTGACTATTCTTGGGCGGGAAAGGGGTGTGGGAGATGCAGGAAGTGACTGGACAAAAATCGTGCACCTATGGATGAGGACAGTGGGTGGGGAGTGAGGGCGGAGGGTGGGGTGGGAACTGGAAGGAGGGGAGTTATGGGGGGAAAAAAAGAGGAACAAATGTAATAATCTGAACAATAAAGATTTAATAAAAAATAAAAAGAAAAAAATAAAAAGAAAAGCACCCCTATGTTCAAAGCATCACAATTTACAATAGCTAAGTGTTGGAAAAAGCCTAAGTGCCCATCAGCAGATGAGTGGATTAAAAAATGGTAGTACATCTATAGAATGGGATACTATGCTTCTTTAAAAAAGAAAGAACTCTTATCATTTGCAACAGCATGGTTGGACATGTAGAGCATTATGCCAAGCAAAATAAGCCAATTGGAAATAGATAAATATCACATCATCTCATTCATTTGTGGAATTTAATGAACAACAGAAACTGATGAACAACAATAGGACCAGAGACATAGAAGCATGTAACAGACCTTCAAACCTCAGTGAGAATGCAGGGGAGGGTGTGGGTTGAGTAAGAGAATTACCAAAGGACTAGTATGCAGGCATATACACATATCCAATGGATGAAGACACTAGAGAGGTGAGGACATGTGCTCAGGTTTGGGAGCGGCCATAGAGTGGTCAATGGGGAAAAAAGGAGACATATGTAATACTATATATATAATACTTTAAACAGTAAAGAATTTAAAAAAATAAAATATTGTGGTACATTTACACAATGGAATACTACACTGCTATAAAAAGAAGGAACTCTTACCATTTGCAACAGCGTGGATGGAACTGGAGAGCATTATGCTAAGTGTAATAAGGCAGCTGGAGAAATAAAAATATCACATGATCTCACTCATTGGTGGAATATAATGAACAACATAAACTGATGAACAAAAACAGATTCATAGTCAGAGAAGCATGGATCATACCATCAAACCTCAGAAGGAAGGTAGGGGAGGGCAAGGGTAAGGGTTAGAGTCCTACCAAAGGACTTTTATGCATGCATAGAAGCATAACCAATGGACACAGACACCAGGGGGCTGAAGGCAAGAGTTGGGGTGTGTGTGTGTTGGGGGGGGGGGGCAATGGGGAGATAAGGACACATATATAATACCTTAATCAATAAAGAAAAAAAAATAGATCCAGAGGCATAGAATTGTCAAACAGACCATCAAACCTCAGAGGGAAGGTGGGAGGGGGGAAGGGTAAGAGAATAACCAAAGGACTTGTATGCATGCATATAAGCATAACCCATGGACACAGATAATAAGGGGGTGAAGGCATGTGCTGGGGGATGGAAACAGCTGGGGAGAGGTCAATGGGGGGCGGGGAAGGAGAAATATGTAATATCTTAAACAATAAATAATAAAAAAATAATAAAATATAAAAAAGAAAAAAACACAATGAAAAATAACAAAAACCAAATCTCTCTCTCTCTCTCTCTCTCTCTCTCTCTCTCTCTCTCTCTCTCTCTCTCTCTCTCTCTCACACACACACACACACACACACACACACACACACACACATACACACACAGAAATCACACACACCCGCACAAAAACCTTTGGATCTGCTATTTGTGGAACTCGCTGGATTTTGCTGTGATGTTGTCAAATCTTGTCCCTTGATGTGTCTAACCTGGGCCTCCCAGGAGCTTCTTTGGTGCAGGCCAATATGGATGCCTTCCTTGCCTTGGGCCACTTTACTGAGGCCTAATACGTTGGAGCCCTAAGTAATCCAGTGGGTGGGCCTCCTTAGCCCAGAGGCTGGGTCTGCCTCAGGTCTCACACCTTGAATGTCCCTGTTATAAACTGTTCTTCCTTCCTCCACAGAGCTATGCTTAGTGAGGGTATCCTGATCTTGTCTGGGTTCGTTCGATCAAACTCGTGTTGGGGATGGTTTCTATAACCTGTAGGAGGAGGGCTGAGTACTTCCTTTCTCTCCAATGCCTCAGCTCTGCCTAGCTTGCTAGCACCTCCCCACTGCCACCTGCAATGGTGCAGATTTCCATCCCTGGGCTGTTTCTCCTTGCATCAGGTCACTGCAAGGTGAGTCAGAAATAGCTGTTTTGCAAGAGGAAAGGAGGCAACTCCCCTGTTCTCCAGGTGGCATTCCTGATCTTCCTTCCTGGTCCTATTGTCCAGTCCCCTTTCCGTTCAATGGCACAAGTTCCTCCAAGAAATAAAAGGTCCCACAGATTCCTTCAGACCACTCCATTGGAAGCTGACTCTGAGCTCCACTGCATGGCCCTTCACACAGATCAGGATGAATTTCCCAGGCTGGATGATGGTCAGATGCTAGTGCTACTCCATCCAGGGACTTCAGCCCAGGCTACCACTGCTACACCCACTCTGTGGTCTCCACAGACAGCACCCTCTGGGCTATCTCTGTCTCAGGACCTCCCATCTCACCCACAGATCTGCAGCCTCTTCAGTCTCTATCATATCCTCAGTTCTAGTAGGCCCAAGTTGGGGGAGACTACACTCAGGGCACAAAAAGGAGGCAACCAATCTATATGTCTCTCTCACATCATGTTTCTCTCTGTCTTTTACTCTCTGTTCCA